GACCATTCCCTGGAGAAGGATGTCATGCTTGGTGGGGTGGAGGGTCGACAAAAGAGGGGGAGGCCTTCAAGGAGATGGATTGATATGGTGGCTGCAATGATGGGCTCAAGTATAGCAGGGATAGTGGGGCTGGCGCGGGATCGAGCAGTGTTTCATTCTGCTGTGTATGGGGTCGCTATGAGTCAGAAATGACTCGATGGCACTTAACAACAGCAACAACAACAACAAACATCATGAGAAATTACCTCCTTTGATTTTCACTCTTTTCCAACAAGTGTCCTCATGACGGTGTTTGTGATGTTTTATTATTCCCATCTCTATGGCCATGACCAGCCATTGGCCTCCATATTTCCCCCCATGACACTCCTCAGAAGGAAGATTGGACAATCTATTTGGGAATCTACTTCTGTAGAGATACCTCCTCAGAAACCCAAGGAAGAGTCACTATGAATCTGAAATGACTCCACGGCAGTGAGTACCGCGATCCTAGTGCTCAGAATGTAGGGGAAGTGCATACACTTCATGTCGCCAAGGACAGCAGTCATCTCGTCTACCTTCCTCCACTTACCATGCAGTCCCCATTCATCTCCTTGCCCTCATGAGACATTCGGAGGTTCATATTCAAACACTCCTGTTTAATGCACTGTACCTAAGTCATTGTTGTTAAAACACCTTTCTCTCTCTCTTGCTCTCTCTCCCTCTCTTTTTAATTAGGCATTTATTCCTTCAAATATATTTTGGGAAATTCAAAGCTCTGTGATGGAGAACATTTGAGAAATAATAAAAAGAGGGAGAGAGAGAGAGAGAGAGAAGGCTGTTCAGATACTATCTTCTTTTCTTCCCCAGCATCAGTTCAGTGAATCTGAGACCCAGAAGCTGAGCAATTGTCCAAAGCCGAATTGCAGCTCTTTGCATCAGGAGCAGAGAACACAGTGTGCTGGTCTAGGTCGTGCTCATGGACAAATGTGAGTATGGTGGATATTAGCTCACGGTGGCCCTTCCTGGGGTCCAACTTTAGAATTCAAAGTGTGCCTCCAAAATATTCAAGGTTATCTACCAGGTCTTCCAATACTGGCTGATCTTCTCCCAATAAAATATTCAGGTCTAGGCTTCCATCTGTCCTGGTGGGATCTCTACCTCAAAAGAAGGGAAGCAGGGCACTAGCACAAAGCTGATGTCTCAGTCACTGTAGGAAGATCCACATGACCTCACCATTCCAGAAAATTTCATAGAATTTTTTAGGAGCAATCATATTCTGGCAGGTACAAAAATAAATAAATAAAACACCATGACTGATTGAATAAACTAGTCCCAGGTGAGTACAGCTGAATAGTGACCATGACAGAGGTGGGGAGGGAGCTGAAGAACCTCATGAAGTCCCCTCAAGGCCAACACCCACAGCAGGTGGGCAGGGTGGGGAAGCTCCTCAGATCGGCACTGTGAGTACTATTCAGATCTTAAAATCAGGTTTTACACGGATATTGTTATGAATTTAATGTTTTCCTCCCAAAGGATATGCTGAAGAACTTCTGTTCTGTTGATTGTGACCTTAGTAGGATGTCAGGTCCACCTTTGAAGATGTTATCAATTAGGTAACTGGGACATAATTGTGTAGGATGGATTCTAATCATGTGTGAGTGATGTCATATACAAGTAGAAAACTTACACACAGAAAAAGGCACCCAGGTTTAGACCATAGGAAGGTGTATCTAAAAGCCAAGGATACGTAAGAAATGTCTGGTGCCACCAGAAAGTGTAGACAACTAGGAAAGGTCCTCTCCAAGAGAAGATAAGGCAACAAGAGTCCCTTGAAGCACTGATGTGCACTACCAGCCTTCAGAACTGTGAGGAAATTCATTTCTGTTTTGAAAGTCAGCCACACTTTTTTTTATAGTTTGTAACAGTGCTCACAGGAACCTAAGACCATCGTCAATAATTATGGGCACACAGAACAATCTCCATATAAATGCATCTGGGAGGGCGATTGCTCACTTAACCCCCCCATCGTCCAGTGTGCTGGATGCTGTCAGGAACATTCTGTACGGGGAGGAGCACCTGGGTGGGCCAGAGTCCTGCCCACATGTCACCCATGCTGAGTTTCGATGGGACCCCAGACCACTGTGCCACAGGTGTTGTTCCAACAATGTCCTCCAGATGGCGCTGAGTGAGAAGTGAGGCTACAGAATGAGGGTGAGCCCTTCAGAGGATGTACTGAGGGATGAGAGAAGGATCAAACATTTCTCTATCCCCCAGGGTGTCCCGTGGAATCAGAATGTACGCTACATTGTCAGATCTCTCTGCTCGATGGCCAGCAGTTTCTAGGATCTTTAGCAGAAGGTCCTTGGATGCCCCATCCCTGGGGAAGGGGGTCAGGCTTTCTCCTTCTACTTTCTGACATGAGACTAGAGAGTGTTCTGACACTGCCCTGTTTCATACCTTGGATTTCTAAGATGTGGAATCACTTCACCTTCCAAGGTTAATCTCAAAACCTGAGGAGGAACGCCAGGAACCCATCACACTGTCTAGAACCCATAATAGCCCTGTGTATGTTCTTCTCCTTGGCAGTTTCTCCTCCGTGTGAGGGTCAGGACATTCCCCAAATGGGTCAACATGGATGACATGTGTACTGTTTGTCACCATGGGTGCTTTTCCCTGTCCTTAGTTGTACTGACCCAGGTGCAGCTGCAGGAGTCATGTTCAGGAATGGTGACCTCTCCATAGACACCCCCCCAACATGAGCTATCTCTGTAATCCATAATCACCATTAATTTTGAGATCGGATCAACCAGCAGCCAAGGATTGACACAGTGGCTACAAAGATGGGCTCAATTATAGCTCAGATCATGGAGCTGGGCCGGGACCAAGCAGTGTTATGTTCCGCTGCTCATAGTCAGAGACGACTCGATAACACATAACAACAGCAACCAGCAGCCAAGGAAGGGCCTGTCAGCAGTGTGCTGTGAGAGCAGACAGACTATGCCCCACGTCTGAAGAGTCGACTCTTTAGCTCCAGACACTGATCCACAAACCAGTTCTCCCTGCCAATGAGCTCTGTGACAGCCGTGCATTACTGTGAAAAAACAGTAAAGAGAAGTCAGTGAGGCCCAGACACACACCTCCCTGCAGCAATGGGACTGGTCTCCAAAGAGGTGGTCAGGATTCACAGAGCACAAGGCCCCAATCTCAGGGAAAAGTGAGATGGGGGAGGCTGTGGAACAAGGGACTTCCTTTCTCTCCAAATTATAACATTTCCTCCAAGCACCCATCCATGGTTACTATTATAAAATACCATAGATATTGAAATTGTCATTTATTTGTGCATTGCAGTCAGACATAAATTTGTATGTGCACATTCATATATTGACATGCACATATTATATTTGTATCCTACATGGTAATCACACATACTGTACAATTTGTATTGGACTGAATGGAAAATGAAGCAGAATGTTCCAAAATATGTGGGATTCAACTAAAGCACTATGTAGTGGAGGATTCATAGCCTCATACCCTTTTATCATATAGAAAGAATGGCCTCACATCAATTACCTCAGCTCCTTGCTAATGAAAATAGAAAAAGGTGAGCATGTTACATCAAAGCTTAACATGGAAATAATAATAATAATAATAACAACAATAAAAACATTAATATAAGAACTGGCATGAATGAAACAGAAACGATAAAATAAATTAAAGAAAAACTAATTTCTTTGAAAAACTGAAAAAGAAAAAATGATGAACTCACTGCCCTTGAGTAGATTCTGACTCATAGTGACCTTGTTTGGGTTTCTGAGGAGGTAAATGTTTGTGGAAGTAGATGCCCAGTCTTCCTTTCATGGAGTTGCTGTTAGGTTTGAACCTCCAACCTTATGGTTATCAGTCAAATGCCTTAGGCACTATACCCCCTGAGTTCCTTGATTCTTTGAGAAAACCAAATAAATGTGCCTGATGAGGATAAAAAACGAGATGACACAAACGATCAATAGCAGAAGCCGGAGTGGAGACAGCACTTTATGGTGATTGGACTTATGCCCTGTTCTCTTTACAGATAAAGGGCTCTGCAAACCTCATGAGAAATGGCCAGCTCAGCCATGGAGGTGGTCCAGGAACATGGTTGGGTCCATTTGTGAGGGGTAAAGGTCCACATACTGGGATAACTCCTACCAGGTACATGTTCAGGTGCACTTGACACTATCCCTCTCTGTTCTATTTGTTGTTTCACATCAGGAAATTATGGTTAATAATAGGTGAAAAGGAAATCACCTTATGGGTACTAAGAGTTTAGCCCAGCATAATCCATAACATGAAACCATAATTTCCCCAAACACTATCTTTGTCAGCAAACATCACCAGGACATTCCTGTCTGCTCTGGGGTATGGTCCTCTCAGGAGTCTTGCAACTCCACCTCTGGTTATATAGGAGGAGAAAATGCAAATAGGACCCCTCCCTCAGCTGATGAAAGCAGGTCCAGCTCCAACCCTGCACCTCGGGGAGAAGAGCTCCAACCCCAGGATCCCAGGTGTCCCCATTCACTGATCTGCACTGAATACAGATGAGTCTCCATGGAGTCTGCGCTGGGATGGGTTTTCCTTGTTGCTGTTTTCAAAGGTCTTTTTATGGACAGCAAGTGCATGTGAATGGGCATGAGTGAGAGAAACAGTGGACATGTGTGACGGTTTCCTGACCAGGATGTCTCTGTGTTTGCAGGTGTCCAGTGTGAGGTGCAGCTGGTGGAGTCCGGGAGAGGCCTGAGTCAGGCTGGGGGGTCCCTGAGACTCTCCTGTGCAGCCTCTGGATTCACCTTCAGCAGTTATGGCATGAGCTGGGTCCGCCAGGCTCCAGGGAAGGGCCTGCAGTGGGTCGCAGTTATCAGCAGTGACAGTAGTTACATATACTACGCAGACTCCGTGAAGGGCCGATTCACCATCTCCAGAGACAATGCCAAGAACACTCTGTATCTGCAAATGAACAGTCTGAAAGTCGAGGACACGGCCCTGTATTACTGTGCGAAAGGCACAGTGAGGGGAAGTCAATGTGAGCCCAGACACAAACCTCCCCTGCAGAGATACGGCCGGGCAGCAGGGGGCGCTCCACACTCACCGAGCTCAGGATTCAGACCCAGGAGCAACTGCAGGGATGTGTTAAATGTTGGTTTCCTGCTGTGTCTGGGGATTCTTCTCCATCCAGCAGTTTCCCCAGGGAATCTCTTTTTTTATGATTCTGGGGTCTCCCCTGATAGCTGTGAATTAAAAAACTTATATTGTAACAGGGGGACCCATTCTCACCTGGGAAAAGCATTCTGTCCCCTGTGGAGGGAAAAGACTGTGCCGAGATCCCCCGCGGTTCTGGGGAAGCTCAGGGGAATGTGGAGGTTCTTTTCCAATGAGACTCTGGACAGGGAGAGTCCTTGGGCAGCTCTAGCACTTGAGCGCTTGGTCACTACTTGAAAGGCTGGGGTTTGAACCTGCCCAGGGATGGCTTGAGAGACAGGCCAAGGAATCTGCCTTTGAAAGGTCAGACTTAGGGCTGAGCTCTCAACGCTGTTCCAGAATTAGCACACTCTCTGGGATTCAGGTCAGAGCGTGAGAGTGGCTAGGTCAGTGTGAGTGACACGTAACAGCTGAATGAAGTCACATCTGAATGTCACTCAGTGGAATCCCTCCTCACAAGTGTATGCCTGTCTGAATCAGGACCAGCCTGGTGTCAAGTTTCCTCCAAGTCTGTTTTCATTGTCTCTAGTTCAGCAGTGTCACCTAATCCATGGCTGTTATGTAGTTTATAGTCTACGCCACACTTATTCAATCTGCACGCTGAGCCAACACTCCAAGAAGCTGGACGATGGCTCCAGCTGACTCCATCCCCATGTGCTCAGCAACTCTCAGGCTCAGCATCCACGTTCTTCTGCTGAACCCTGAGGAAGCAGAGGCTCTGACTGTACATGGAAAGTAGACTTTCAAATGGTGGTGGGTTTCTCAGAGCATGGGGAGCACTGGGGGTTTCTAGAAGCATGTGTGGATTTTCTTAATAGTCCCTATCTGATCCATTTCATACCTGCAGTAGCTCATGTTAAAATTGCCGGAGATCCAAATGTGTTGAGATGGCAGCTAAGAAGACCGACAACATTCTATTCCGACAAAACTAGATCTAACCCAATTTTTGCTATAATTGGAAATGTAAGAGTCTAGTTAACAAAGATGAGTATTTGTCTACCTGAAATGGATTTACTACCAAGTACATTCAAGAGTTGCTTTGGAGGGGATTAATTTGAGCCCAGAGGGGATGTCCCCAGGCTCCTGTAGGTAAAATCAGTGGGTCAGGAAGACATTGGGGAAAAAAGGGTCCTGGAAACAAAGTGGCAATTGGTAAACATAAAAAGAAGGCTGTTATGAATGAATGAATGGAGGCAAATGGGTAGGGGTTAAAGAAAGTGTGAATATTAGGACAAAGGTCGGGAGAGACATGACCCTTTTATTCTGAGTGTCCAAGTGGATCCATGGTGCTCACCACTCTCCCTGTCCTGTGTCCCTCGGGCTGCACACACGGTTACCTCCTCAGCGCTCCCACAGAGCTCACTACAGGGTCAGTTGTGGAACATTCCTCAACCCTCATTCCAGAGGATATATCCATCTTCAGGTACAGGTCCTGAAACCAGTTCTCTCTGCAGCTGAGCTCTGTTTCCTCTGAGGACATGACCGTGTGTTAGTCTTTATGAGACACAGGGAAGGATTTCTGTAATTAGCTTATTGCATTTTCCTGAACAGTAATTATCTTTCCCACAGCAGTTTCATCCTCCCTTGTTACAAGTCCAACACACACGCACACACACACACACACACACACAGAGATAGACACTCACACATACCCAGACACAAATTTTACATAAATAATCACCAGATGTACTAATGTATAAACCTACTCTGACTGTATGTGACCTTGCATATTATTCCTCTATCTTGATCGTTTCCTCACATCAATGAATGGTCTACAACATGTTCGTTGCAGAGCTTCACTTGGCCTGATAATGACTACAAAGGACTCGTTCCTGGTATGGGCTTTGTTTTGACATTTCACAGTAAAACTCATTATAAATAAAACTGTATGCATTATTAATCATTCATGGGAGATAAATAACTAGATCAATAACTAGGAAAGGGATGTAAAAGGAAATGCATTTTTTTCTTCAATTCTTGAAATCTTCAAACTTCTCTTCACCAGGACACAATAACAGATACACCATCATCACTTATTTTATGACAATGAAATAGGAATTCCACACCTTAATCAACAATTTAGTTTTTCCCCAAAATCTGCTGAAACATAACTTGTGCCAAAAATTACCCATGACTAGGGACACATGGTTGAAGGCAAATGACCAAGACACAGTCCATATGTAGTGTTTGTGAGTTCCACCTGTTACAACTGGTGGCCCCATGATTGTGTCCCTCTCGACTTCATCCCTTGTGAGGAAAAGAGAGATGGTAAGCCTGGCTAGAGGAAAGAAATGCATTGCGGATGCCGTGTGCGAGTTCTGGGGGAGGGACCAGTATGACCACGTGCTTCAGGGTATTGTCATCGGATCGATGAAAACTAGCTATAACTTTGTCATGACTCCAAAACTGTAGCCTCAATCAGTTACTGATTGAAGATTTTCAGTTGAATAAAATTTGTAAATAAAATATTGCACATTTTGAAATATATGAATCAGCTATGAGTCCTTGGACAGAACATTATTTTAAAATGCAGACGTGAATGTGTGTGGGGTCTTTGCATATGAGTGTTCATGTGCTGTGGGAAGGCCTGTTTCTGAGGGAATAAATGATACCATTGGCAGTGGGCTTAGCTTTATGTTTTTGGCCTTGACTTCATCAGCCCTCCAGCTGTGGTTAATAGCAGCTTGTGTTCTATGTGAAGGTCCCACTATTTCATTCAGTGACATCTGGATGTTGTTGTTAGGTGCCTTCTTATGATAAGAATGCAGTTTTTTGGATTCCAGGTTATTCTGGGCTCAAAATGCTTACCTGATTCCAGGGAAGATCTGCAATTATCCCTCCAATTGTGTACGTAATTCTGGTGAGTTGTTCCCAGGTATCACATGGTCTTTACTCAGGGACTGCCTGTCCCTGCAGGGAGCGAGACAAGTGAAGTAGCATTAAGGAAAGATTCAACTTGGCATCGGGAGTCACTCAGAATATTTTCTCAGACACAAGGAACATGTTCACCCACTTCCCACAATGCATGGGAAGTGGTTCAGAGGGCCCCTGGAGTGATCTGACCCTGGACTGTTAGAGGACAAGGTGGCATCTTGAGGTCAGGCTATTCAAAGTCATGGGAGTCCAGCCCGAATATGCACAGGACTGAGTTCTCTTCATTCTCATTGAGCATCATGTCTTGGAGAGGACAGTGTGAGTATCCCCGCATTTTGCACAGAGAAGGATCCAACGTTTGTTTCCTCTGCACAGTTTCTTTGTATTGTCTTTCCTGGATTTAATGGGGGTTAAGGGTTCATATCATAAAGATGCAGACGGTGTACAAATTCAGAAGTGTAGGGGGTAACAAGCAGACATCCTGAGCATCTAGTTCCAGGACTCACTTCCCACCTGCCTTCCCCAGAATCCAGAGGCCGGGAGGGCAAACCCTGCTGGGTGGCTCACCTTTGTCCACAGGGAGATGGTCAGGGAAGTGTGGTTCCTTCCCTGCTCATGAACAGGAAATGGTGCCATGTCCCTGAATTTCCTGGAGAGTCACCCAAGTCTGTGTCCTTCCCCTGTGTTCACACCACAGGGACTGAGTAGATCCGGGATTCCCTTCTTTTCACTGTCAAAGGTAACGTCGCCCTGCTGCAGGCTGGCCGTGACTGCTGCCCATGGGCTGTTATCAGCGTTTCAACTCTGTGTGCAGGTTTCTTGTGTTAAGTTCAGCTGCTGGAATCTGGTAAGACATCAGTCAGCCTCGGGGAAATCTGAGCCTCTCTAGAAAAGCCTCTTGATCCAACTTCACTGAATATGTTCACTGGATCAGCCTCCAGGGAAGGGGCAGGAGGGGGTGGGAAGAGGCAGCAAAACAAGTGGAAAGAATCAGTACGACTGTCCATCAGTTCAAGGAAGATCCACAATTGCTCGGGAGAACCCTATCAGCACCATCTCTCTTAAAATGAGCAACAAGAAATTTGAGAACAGGCCCTGTAATAAGTACCAGAGGCTCAATGAAGGGAAGGCAGTGTGAGCCAAGATACACACCTCCCGGCAGGAAGGGGGCTGGGCTGCAGGGGGCGCTCAGGATCCACAGACACAGGTCCCCGATCAGGAGCAGGTGCCGAGGAAGGTCAAGGTTCCCTTTCAACCCTGGTGTTTCCTGCCCCTCACAGATGTCTTCTCCAAGAACCATTACTGTTTCTTCTTTGGAAATACCTCCCCCACACACACACCTTGCAACTACCAACTCAGAATTATGATTCAAATCAGTTTTAAATCCTGGAATCCTCAGATTTCTGATATCAATAATCTTGCATTACATTTTACTCCTCGATCTAAATTTATCATCTGCATGTGTTTGTGTGTTTTCTACACTGGTGCACTCTTATTATAGTATGAAAACAAACAAACAAGCAAAAACACTCACTCCTGTTGAGTTCATTCGATTCACAGCTACCTCTCCTTGGGTGTCTGAGGTGTTATCTGTATGGAAGTAGATTGTCCAGTCTTCCGTCTGAGGAGTGGCTAGTGGGTTTGAACCACCAGCCCTCTCATTAGCAGTCAAAAGCCTTAGGCACTATGCCACAAAAAGTGCCCATATATATCATACTTAGTGAATTATATCTTCTCAAATAGGCAGTTTTATATTCTCTCATGTCATTTTCCCCATCATAAATTGGCAATTTAATGTTCTCTTCCAGAGTGTAAATTACTTATTCTGTTTTTATATGTATATGTGTGCGTGTGTTGTTGTTGTTGTTGT